CCCCACATGAGTTCATCAGCCTCCTGAGCTCCTCTGTCTGTTATGACAACACTTCCCACGGGAGACCAGGAGAAAGAAAGCAAGAAAGAGAAGAGGAAATTATTTTGGTGGAAGAAATATTAGAATGATAGTTGAATATGAATGGTTTTGTGACTCTGGCTGTGAAGTCTCTCCACAGATAATCCCGTTGACCCACATGAACCCCTCAGCAAAATTTCAGATCTGCTTTCTCGGATAAGCAGATTAAAGTCTGATATCCAGTTACAAATAAGCAAATAAAACTGATATCCAGTTACAAATAAGCAATATCCAGTTATAATATACATGAAAGAAAACTGTGTGCTATATGGTATTATTAAGGTCTGGAGTGGAAAAATAGCAAGGGCCTCAACATTCTGCAGGGTACAAATAAAGATGAGAAAACTCCAAAATTTGGAGAGAGAAGGATAGTCAAACTACAAATTAAGTAGATTGTAATTGTCTTCACATGTCAGGCAAATATGTGTCTAAGACATACGTTTTCATACCTACTTTCATTTTTAACTGAAAAAATGTGCATTTATGTCAACATAATGCTTTGAAGTATATGTGTATACACTGTGGAATGACTAAATTTAGCTAATTAAAGTGCATTTATTCACATAGTTACCTAGTTACTGTTTTTGTGGTGATAAAACTTCACAAGTTACAGATCTGCCCAGTCACATTTGCACAATGTACTTTATGAAAGTGCCAAAGCCTCTAATACAACATGACTATAAAAACCAAAATGATGAAACATACCTGAGACATTTACATTTTCCTTAATAATTAGTCTTGGTAATGTGATCCAATAAAATCGATGTTGTTTTAGAATTCAATTTCTTCGTTTCAATCCTAATTATTATCCACAGGGAAACAACACAGTATAAAGGATTTCAAGTCATAAAGTTTCACTATCCAGAACATCGCTCCTTGTCAGTCCCCACTACAACTTGCAAATCACTTAGGCTTTCTGAACTTCACTTGATTCATCTAGGAAATTGGACCCACACACTAAATATTTGCAGTTAATGCAAATAGAAGAGAAACAAAAAGAACTACTCTCTAATTCCACTCCACATGAGTACTCATGTCCTTCTGGAAATCATCTGTAGACCTGCAGACCTTAGGAGAATAAGTTCATAATTGAAGGAATACCCACATAGTTAACATTGTGAGAATGTAAATTTAAAGCACTTTTGACCAGGGAAACTTTAATACAAGAAAATGGTTTTATTTCCCTGAGCATGAAATCCTGCCCCCAAAGACTGTATCTATTAATGGCATGCTATGATTAATTAATTGGTTCTGGGAACTCTTATACCATATTAGTCACTTTCATATTAGTGTTCCCAAGAGTCTCAAATAAATAAGACAGTGACTGCACTTCTACATGCCCAGCCATTTCCTGCCAAGGTGTTCTGCTGATGTGCAGTTTCTGTGCAATTTCCCACAGTGTACCCGGCTGACTTAGTTCAAGCTTTGTTGGTATAATGCTCAGAAAAGCTTAATGTTCTAACAAGAAATCTACTCCTCTCATTACTTCTTTGTGATATTAAAGACAAGAGTTTCTTTGGGGCTTTGGCATTTGATCACAGCAGGATTATTTACAGTGATGCGGTGGCTGTTGCCATTGGCGATTGCCAAAAGGTCAATGTCTTCAATGTCGTTAAACTCAGCATCAATTTCTCTCTGTATTTCCTTTCTAGTCAGGCAACTGCTATCAAATTAAAGAAGTTTTCAAGGCTCAGAGAACAGTTTTGCTTTTTCATTATTACATCTGCAATTTGTTTGGTATGATCTATTTTCTTGCATGAATAGGCATCAATTAGAGGAGATGGACATTTGTATAAAATTTGTTCAACTTATGCTTGCAGCTATTTTACATGTTAAAACTTCTGAATTCCTATTATGATAATATTTTGGAAACATAAGAATGTAGATTATGTAATTTAATTCATTTTCAATATGCTATAAAATATTTTATTAAAACTCTATAGAGTAAGTTATATTCCATTAATATCATATGCCTGTTGATATTTTGATTAAGTAAATACAAATAATTTACTAAGAATGATTAGCATGTTTCAGATATTTTGATAACATTATCTAATTCAATCTTCCTAGTACCCCATGTATAAACTATATGTTATTATTATGTGGTAACTGATTTTCAGAAATACAAAATTTCCCAGATTAACATCCTTATTAAGTATAATGATCTGAGGCTTCAGACAATAAACTTAACATTCTCTTCTCATTGCCACATGGATGCTTAGCAATGAAAACAACTTGAAAAATATTGAATTAAGGGGGTGATCTTTAGCTATACGTCTACTACCTAAGGAATGGCCACTCTCCTCATAAATCTACCTTGGGACAATAAAATAAAATTCCATAGAATTTTAGAAGACTCTACATAATCACGAATTTTGTGGCAAGAACATTTTTAGTCCACTCCAGCATTTTTTAAGGATACAGTGTATTCCACTATGCACTCACTGTGTTATACAATAATGGATCTCTTGAACTATTCCTCTTATTGTGAAAGCTTATTTCCCTGGATCAACATCTCCCCATCCTCCTTCAACCAGCCCAACCATGAGTAAATACTATTCTATCATCTACATCCATTAAAACCATTTAAAAATTATTTGAAAGGCAGACTTACAAAGAGAGAGGGAGAGATAGAGAGAGGTCTTCCATCTATTGGTTTGCATCACGCCGCTGCAATGGCCAGGGCTTGACCAGGCTGAAGGCAGGAGCTAGGAGCCCCTTCCAGGTCTTCTACATGTTTGCAGGGGCCCAAAGACTTGGGCCGTATTCCTCTACTCTCCCAGATGCATTAGCAGGGAGTTCGATTAGCAGTGGAGCAGCTGGGATTTGAACTGGCCTCCATATGAAATGCTCACACCTCAAGAATGGCCCAAAGCTCTACACCACAACCACAAACCTCACTTTTCTAGATTTCACATGTGAATGAGGTCATGTTGAATTTGCCATTGTGCACCTAACTTAATTTATAGAACATAATATTCTCCAAGTTTATCTGTGCTGTTGCAAATGAAATATTTTCCTTCTTTAATGGCTCAATATTACACTTTGTTTATCACACTTCTTTATCTGCTCTTACATTGATGGATCATTAAATTTATTTCCATATCTCCACTACTGTATGAATAATGCTACAATAAACATGAGTGCAGATGCCTCTTGACAAGCTGGTTTCCCCTTCTTCCTTTGGATATTTACAAGTGTCTGGATCATATAGATGCATTGCTTTTAGTATTTTGCAAAACCTCCATACTGTTTTCTACAATGGATGAATCATTTGCAGTCCCGTAGTGTACATTCCCACTGGTGTGAGGTGATATATTATTGTGTTTTAATTTGAAATTCCTTGATTATTAGTAATATTGAATGTTTTTGATGTAAAAGTAATTTTTAAATTCTTATACAATACAGTTAAAGGGTAATTTTATTTTTGGTACAGACAATTTGGAAGTCCATGAATATAAAAAGGAGCTTCAAAAAGTTCATGACAATGCATATTGGCCCTGAAGCAAGGACAGTCTCTTTAACAAATGGTGCTGGGCAAACTGAATCTCCATGTACAGAAATATGAACCTAGACCCCTACCTTTCACCTCACACAAAAATCCACTAAAAATTGACTGAAGACCTAAATCTATGGCCTGATAACATCAGATTACTAGAGAAGATTAGCAAAACTCTGCAAGACATTGGCATAGGAAAAGACTTCTTGGAAAAGACTCCAGAAGCACAGGTAATCAAAACCAAAATTGATAAATGAGATTCTATCAAGGTGAGAAGCTTCTATTCCGACAGAATAGGAGAAAATATTTGCAGACCACACAACTGATAAAGGGTTAATATCCAGAATTTTCAAAGAGCTCAAAAAACTCAACAACAACAAAACAGACAATCCAGTTAAGAAATGGGTGAAGGATTTGAACAGGCATTTTTCAAGAAAGGAAATTCAAGTCACCAACAGACACTTGAAAAAATGCTCAGAGAAACAAAAAGCAAAACCTCATAATATGTAAGTATCACATAAAAATGGCCGAAAATAAGTGATACTCAAAAAAGGAAAGCTTGAAAATGAATCATACAGTTTGTTGAGAAAATTTCCAAACACAGGATCCCTTGCCCTCCTCTTCCTGGATAGCGCATCACTGATTATTCTAATAGAATTTTATTTCACTTAATTCATCTGTACTCTCAGAGATCAAAGTGATGTTTTACCTGCATTAAAAGAGAAAGCAAACGTGAATTATATAGCACTCTGCCTAACACACATTAATAATTCAATACATGTTAGCTACAAACTGGAGTATCATTCCTCCTGTTGTTACTAAGTTCTCACACTGCAGTTTCCTCTTTTCAGAGGCATGGATGGATGTTTCTAATACCTAATTCTTAAAACAGTTATATCAGGACATCTTTTCTAATTGTCTTGTTTGTTTCTAAGAAACGACTTGCTTCTAATTATATTTAACTGATTCTTCACAAGTGATTGGAAACTTGAGACATCTTAATAAATAGTATCCTTTGGTTCACACAAAATGTTTTCTAAAGCTCTGTCTGATGTCCTAATTATCTTTGAATGCATATATCATTGCTGTGAAGCCTGAAACAAATTGATCCAAAGTAATGCTAATTACTTCCTGTCTGCAGGGGAAACATGCACTGGACAAGGTAGTAAAACAAGTGCAGAAGTCTTTGAACCAGAAAGACCCATCCATTGCTTGTGTTTTACTGAAAACTATGTGCTGTGCCTTCCTGGGTTATCTACAGCCAAATATATTACATGAACATTTTATTGGCTTGATAACTATCAAGAAGTAACAGGCACTGGCTGTTTTTTCATGCTCTTCTTAACCCTTGTTTAAATTTTTAACACACAAAAATAGGTTATTGGGATGAGCACTGTGGAGACATGGGTTGAAATGCCACTCGCTTGGTACACCAGTTACATTGTCAGCACCTTGCACTCCCAACCAGCTTCTTGCTAAAGTACAACCTTGAAAGCAGCAGATGATGGCTTAAATGCCTGGGCACACTGCCACCCACTGGAGGCACGTGGACGGAGTTTGAAGTTCCTTGCTTTCATCCGGCCCAGTCCTGGTTGTTGAAGACATTTGGTTTGTGAAGATCCTCCGTTTCCATCTTTCAAGCAGATAAAAAAAATAAGCATTTAAATATCTATTATTAAAAAAAGGGTTATGGAACAAGTGGTAAAAAACTCAAGGATAAAAAATTTCAGAAAGAAAATGTGAGTAGGGATTATAGGTATCACTTAAATAATAACAACAGTGAAATGCAAGCCAACAAGGTTGACAGAGTTGGAAATGTGGCAGAAAGGAGGAATTTATTCCTAATTAGAAAAAAATAATCATAACTGGTATGATTATAGAATAAATATACATAAAGGTAGCATAGATCATATACAGTTTAAATGGCATTTTATAGATCAGATGCTTCAATGTCTGAAGATCCAAAGGACCTCAGTCCAAGGAAATAATGCAGCCATCAGTGTGGCACTGTTGATGGGAATGGGGAGAATCTTATGGCTCGGAGTCAAAATACAAAGTATACAAAACTCTGTAAGCTAAATTATCAGATATTAAGAATTTAGATTATGAAAAGTGCCATTATGGAGCTAGAAGCCCTGACATTGAATTTTGAATTGAGAAAAGTATCTCACATGTATGAAAAAGCTAACATCACTATGAGATGCCTTACAGTTAGTATTAGTAATCTACAAATACACTGTAAAATAGTATATGTTATTCCTCTGTTTACAAAGAGGAAATTCTGGCTAATAAGGAGTACACATGATGATTGATCATGCTGTAATAGATACATTTTGTGTTCGGAGCTGAGAAGCAGATCATCTGAATTATTTATCTTGTCTTTTTAAAAACTACTATGTGCCACATTCCATGTGCCTAAGACACTGAAGACAGTGCTTTGCTATGGATAGTGACATTCATCCAATTCTTATGAAAAAAATAGAATGGGTCAGAGAGTACAGTTCTCAAATGTAGATTACTATTTCAAATATAATGCTAAGATTTAATACCATTTGCATTGCTCTAAATTTATGCCTTCAAAAATTATCTCTATTTAGCAACAGAAACAAGACCTTAGAGATCAGGGTATAGTGTCTTCACAAATTTGTTTAAGAAAACTGGATATATTGAAATCATAGAATGTTTGATAAGAAATTGTATCAGTAAAGTATTAACCAGACAAGCAGCATCATTAGGCTGTGTGCATGGACATGTGTGTGTGTGCACATATCAATGCTACATGACATTAGTGGATTTCTCTCAAGACAAATCAGATACAGAATTCATTGTTTCTGTGCAGATCATGCAATGCATAAGGAAAAGTGAACCTAAGTGTGTAAAGCAAGGGCACAAGTCAACCCACAGTGGAGCCTTTCATGAGGGACTCTACCGGAATCCATTTCTCCTTAGCTCCAAGCCTCCAAGTTCTTATCAGAGTATTCTCGAGCAGACGCAGACAGAGCCTTTCACTGTTACGCTGCACCAGGATTTAAGAAAGCTAATGAGCAGGCTCAGGACATGGTGGAGCTGTGGACCGTGTTGCTGCACAGGGGATCCCTTGGACTGGCAGATAAATGATAGATGCACAGCCCATCATGGGCAGCACACAACTTCTCACACAAACAGAAGAGAGCTACTGCTCAATTTGTGCTGTGCAACTCACAAAAAAATGTCTCCTGTGACTCCTCTCCCTGCAAGGAACAAGGAAATTCCGTAAAATGTAGTGACTTAACCAACTCAAATTCACTCCAAAGAAACACTACCATTCCACAAAGTAAATATCAGTTGTTTAATCAGCACCATGACACATTAATTTCTTTCTTCTCCACTGCACTATTCTTCTCTCCACAGGTTTAACATTCTATTATCATGAAACCAATGCATATGCTTCTCAAACTGCTTGTTTTAGCATTACAAGAAAAACAGTAGTGAAGAGAAGCAACCTCAATTCTTTGTCTCACGTAAAAGAAGCATCTCCACTTGGGCAAGGCAGAGAGCAAAGCAAGATTTACCTAAGTCAGAAACCCCCTGCCTGCAGCAGCCAGGAGGGGCATCCAAGAGAGGCAGAACTGAGAAACCACAGGGTCGAGTCCTTGAAGCACACTTCTGGAGGGAAAAGTAAAACAGAGTTGTAGCTATTAGTTAGAAGACAGGGATAAAACCCAATCAAAAGCCTGGATTTGTAATCCTGTCTCTCCTGTCTAGCTTGTTGATGATAAGACACAAAAGTCATCAGAAGGGTAGAATCGCTGACTTCTGTTTTGACCATAAACTGAAAACTCTAAAGGGTGGAATCACTACTTTCTTGCTATTCTATGATGAAACTGGAAACTCGGAAGTGGCTTCTGCACATTTGCCTTCGGAAAGGCAGTTTTTGGGAGAAGCATGCAGCAGAACTTGGCATTTTCGTCTTGCTGGAGGTAGCTTTTGCAGAAAAGCAAACATTAGGAACCTAAAAAGTACAATATGCTTCTTCCGCTAACGCAATCATAACATCTTCATTGTACTACCACCTTTTTTTCATTGAAGATTTTTATTTTTTATATAATGTGTTTTGGAAATATTATTTATATCTTCACTTTATGTATACATTCAAAATATAACACATTTTAAAATAAGACTAGATATGTGTGTATGTATGCAACTGTGTATATGTGAGTATTACTCTTCATATGTTTGAGAATCATGGTGATAAAGTGTCCATAAGGACTCTTGCTGCTGTCATCCAAGACATAAAATTAGTTACTAAATTGCGAATGGACGTTTCATTAGCATTTCCAACTTCTTGCTGGAGAAATAAAGATGTATTTTTCCATCTTCACACCCAGCCAGAAGACCTTGCCTAGCAGAATGAGTAGCTCACCCTCCCCATAAGCCGCAGGAGATGAGAAAGGAAAAATAAAAGTGGAGAGGAGAAATAAGATAGAACATGCATGCAATGGGAATATTGTCATTAATATATTGTCTACAGAAGAGTCACTCCACACAAAGAAGTTCATTAATGATGATATCTGGAAATGAAAATGCTGTCTTCTCAATTCTAAATTAAGTAATCTTTGAAAGTGAAATGCTTAACATCTAATATCAACTATTATTGGAAATGTTGGGATTTAGTATTTTAGGGTTGCGAGAACATGAGGAAGTGGCTAAAGTAGATAATACTTTATTTTAAGGGAGGCCAGAGTGAGGGGGTAAGAAGAGAAAGGGGGTTGAGCCTGTTGGGACAGACGGAAGGGAGTTAGAAACCAGGTTCCATCCCCTCTGATCAGCAGGGAAAGTCCCTTCCTAAGTGCTTGCTGGGGAGGTGCAGAGGTACAGAGGTGCAGAGGTGACAAGGTGGGTGGGGAATGTGCAGAAACATCTTTGCCTTAGCAGTTTAGAAAGTCCACAGGCTTTTCTGAGCAATAAACATTCCACTGTCCTTTAAGTTAACTATCTGCATCCAGTTTATCAGGCCTGGGGGTTCAGGCTCAGTATACTAACAGAAAGCACCACTATAAATATCCATAGGACAATGTAAATTCACAAAAAGCATTAGAACTTCCCAAATCTGCAAGTACTGGGAGAAGAAAAAAAAAACTAACAAGAAAGTTAATTTATATTTGAAATTAATCATTTATCCAAAATGCGCATTTTTTCTTCAGATTTCTTTACAGAAAGCTGTACGTATGACTTTTCTCAAAACTGTCTTTATTGTTCTGAAAATAATGAAAGGTGTTGACATCTGGTGCTTCTCTAACCATGCCTGCTGTCAGATCAAAACTGTTACAACAAATGACTTGGAAGTGCTTGTCAGTTTCATTTAAATTTGCTAGCTAAGACAACATGTCAAAATTTGAGATTATCATTTATTTGCAAAATTGAAATAGATTTATGCAGAATACTTCAAAGATTCAAACTTTTTGAGAATTGTAATACAAAACTTGCTACGTTTAAGGAATTCTTCAATTACTTATGACAAATAATAAGGAAGCACTCTGCAAAAATAATTCACCATGACTGGGTAGGACAGCTTATTAAAAATAAGACAAGCAATGTAACACCTTCTTTGGACAAATTTATGCTCAGCTGACCACGTTAGAAAATTATCCTGATAATTTAACTAAATTTTTCTGAATACTATTTTTAACAAAGTAGAATAATTTAATGTATACATACAGACATTAATATGTAAATTATGCAAGGACTATCGATTAGCATTTAATGACTTCCTGGAGAAAAAACTCTTACTGGCAATCAGAGGAACTAAACAGTCATTTAGCAAACTCAATCAATATTTTTCATCAATAATCTTATAATGATGCACACAAAGATTATTAAACATAAAGTAAGAATAGTAGGAAAGACAACTTATATAATTTTCAAAATAAATAACATAATAACCCAAATGGATTGATTAAATAAAAATACTGTTTAAAGCATGCATAAAAATTTATGTGTTGAAATATACTGAAAAATTCCAAGATGCTTGCAATTTGTGCGCTATTTCCCTGGAGTATTCACACTTAGGTCTCCTGAAATGAACTGAGTCTCTAAGTTCCCCATGCAAAACAAACAAAAGGCTAATCTGTAATGTTATCATTTGTACCTAAGTTTTTTAATGAATGAAATTTGAATTATAAATTTTTCCATTCATAAATATATAAGTGAACCAAAAAAAATAAAATAAAATAAGGTGAGGTATTATAAAACTTGCTGAAGTTACATTTGGCTTTTATTTTGTGCAAATACACACACACACATACATATACACAAAGTTTCTTCAGATGGTATTTGGGAATAAGATTAAAATAATAGTTTTTGACATGAAAATATTGAAATCCACGCATTTAATAACACATTGATGAACTTTTTGAAGACACATTGACTACAATTTTTGTACTCAGATAAACTTAATTTTTGGTTCCATTTTACATGAACATTTTGAAGCACTCTGATATACATGCATATCAACCTACATACGTACATGCACATACTTGAGTACATGTAGGCTACACACCAAAAGTGGAACACAAACTAAGTGGAAATATGAAGCCAGTTTCTTGTCCAAAATTGAAGATAGAGGCTGAATGTATTCCAGAATTGTAATCATACAATATGCAAACATGTCCAGAAAAAAAATAAGTAGCACATATTTGTCAGAAAGAGTAAACATCGATGAAGTTCAATTTAATTTATATGATGTGTCCTATTTCCACAACATTCCACCTAGATTTACTGGCTGCTGTGATGATAGGATAAGTTACACAGAATAATGCATTCCAATATAAAATTAGGAAGAGTAGGGCAAACTGGAAGTTATTTTTATTGTAATTTTCTAGTTCAACATAATTAGCGATTGAGGACTACATGATTCCTGAGACTACAACCAATATTTTCCCTGACAACTGTTTCAAAGAATTACTAATTATCATTTCTATGATTTTTAGTGGATTGGACATATAATACTGCACGTGGCTGTGATTCCAAAGTGGAGATTTATGTGTTTACCATCAGCAAAGTAAAATTCTAATGGAGAACTGAGCTGGAAAATGGACATCTTGGGTCATTCTGTGCTGATATTTACTCAAGGAGTATGGAAAAAAGTGGAATAAATTATTTGTGAAAAATATGGTTAAAAACGAAGCAAATTGAAATGATACACTCTTATTCCCAAACAACCTTGCAAATAAGACAAACAATTAATGTATATTTAAGGTGAATCTCAAGTTTTTAAAACCTTATGGCTCTGTTCCCAGTCTTATATATAGAGAGAAGACATACATAATTATTCTGTTTTTCTTTTGGATAATCCAGTGGAAACGTTTTAGAAGAATTTCTTTATGGTTCTGTGTGGAACAATTTTTCCATTATAAAATATAAATACATTATGTAGGATTATCATCTCTACATTCTTAGTAAGGTGACATTCAGGAGCATGCCTTATTTAAAACTAAAGTCCTCCCCTAGCTACTTAGTTGCAGGACGTATCGCCTTTGAGAATAGGTGTTGAAGGCGGGCTCGGATTCTGAGGCAGAGCTGCGGCGTTCTGGCCTTCGCCTTCCCTGTGGAATGCACTCAGTGTGTCAGGTGCATGTGCAGACTGTCTGCTTTTCCACAATCCATGTCTGTGCTTCCTGCTTCCCTTGCAGTTCCTCTTTACAAGCTCCGTGTTGACAGGGTCAGTGCCGAGAAGGAACAAATGAGACATCACACGAAAATGCAGACGCAAACACAGATTTGCCCAAAACTTTCTAGCCATATATATATATATATATATATATATGCAAATCTAACTAATGTATTTTTTGAAAATGATTTTATCCTCATTTTTCCCTGGAAATAAACATCGTGGTTCCAGTTTGGAAGGCAAATTTAGTGTGCTTGATTTCCCCCAGGTGATATAAATTTTGCATTACAGGCAAGCTTCAAGAAAAGATTTGTTTTTTACTCCTACGCACTTACTCACATGGTGTAAATAAATTGCAGCAATAAAGCTTTTATTGACACTGATGATATCAGTTCTGTCAATAAATTGATGATTTGCTTTGTCCATGTCATCTTTTAAACAGATAATACATGTGGCTGTATGTAAGGACTTAAGGCAGGAAGTAAAAGCTTTTACTAACAATATTAAAAAATGGAAAAGGGAGAAATGTGATTAATAAAATAGAAACTTGGTAAAGATGAGAAAGCATCTGGAGTAGTATATAAAAATACATTTATACAATGTAATATTCAGATCCAATTCAGCCTATATCATTGTGCATCCTATAATAGTATACAATTATTGAATTTTAGGCTAACAGATAAAAATGATATTTGAACCCATACATTGTTAATTAGTGTCTATAAATGCTTTGATATTTAGTTACATAATTTGTGTAGGGAGCCTGTGCTGTGGCATAGTGAGTAAAGCCACTACCTGCATTGCCAGCATCCCATATGGGAGCCGGTTCAAGTGCCAGCTGCTCCACTTCCAATCTAGCTCTCTGCTATGGCCTGGGAAAGCAGTGGAAGATGGCCCAAGGCCTTGGGCTCCTGCACCCACGTGGAAGACCGGAAGAAGCTCCTGGCTCCTGGCTCTGGATTGGCACAGCTCCTGCTATTGCTGCCAATTGGGGAGT